AATTAGCGAATCGGATTTTTTGATGAAAACATAAACTTCTCCTTCGGGAAGTTAAATATTGCATTGTTATGTTTGACGAAATTTTACTTTCAACTCTCCTAACATATGACTGCACAAAAGATTATATTGTAAGTTTTTGAAGAGCTTGCTAATGGTAAAATTGAAGCATTTGCAGACCACGCACTGGTGCATTATTATATTGTCTAGGCACTGGTGTTTATGATTAAGGGTTTAAAGAACAGTGGACATGGCCAGTTGCTTTTTATTTTTTTGATGGTGGTGTGAATGCTTTCAATTTGAAATGCTGCATTGAAGAAGTAGTGAAAAATTACTTAGTATTGATTTAAACATTGTGGCAACAGTTTGCGATCAATACCCCGCAAATCGCAAAGCTGTTAGCATGCTTATAAATGAGACTAATAAACGTTATGGTAGAAGTAATGATAATAATAGATTAGAATTCGAAATGAACGGGCATCCAATAGTTCCTTTGTTTGATCCTCCTCATATGTTGAAGTGTTTGAGAAATAACTTTGCAAAATGTAATGTTAAATTTACCAGCACAAAGGGGGTACAACTCGAAGCTGCTTGGAGTGATATTCTGAGTTTTTATGAGTATGACTCTAAGTTAATCATATATCGATGTTGTCCCACTTTAACCGCTCAACATATTTATCAAAAATATTGGAAAGTCATAAAGGTGTCATTAGCGGCACAAGTGTTCTCAAAGCGTGTAGCCAATGGACTTCAAAATTCATATTTTACCAGGGTAGATGCTTCGGCAACTACCTATGCCACTAGTGAATTTTTGAAGTTCATGGACTGCTTGTTTGACAGCGTTAACGGAGTATCAATAAGGCCCCATTAAAACATTTTTAATTGATGATAAAGACCCAAATGATATTGCAGCCCTTATTAACACCCCGAAGGAGAAGTTTATGTTTTCATAAAAAAATCCGAATTGCTAATTTTATGTTTTCTCGACGTTTCAAGCCATTCTGAATCGAAAGAGACCAAATTTGGAAAAAGTATGTGTGTGTGTGTGCGTGTATGTGAACAGATTTTTTGCCGTAAATCGACGTTTTCTCGAAAACGGCTGGACCGATTTCAAAAATTTAAAAGCCACTCGATGTATCTCGATGAGGACTATTGTTTGTCAATTTTGTGCGACGATCGGCCAAGCCGTTTCTTTATAAATCGCAGAAAAGTGAAAAATTTTTCGTCTACGTTTTAGCCCGCAATTCTAAATCGATTTTGAAAATTCAAAAACCGTTCGAAAGATATTGGTTGGGAATCGTGCTGATTAGTTTTTGGTAGAGATCGGCCGGGCCGTTTTCTTGTAATAAAGTTTAAAAAAAAAAAAATTCGACGATTTTTATGATTATTTTTTTGACGGTAGATACCATAGTCTTCTAGATAATACTAAAATATGACGGCCCTACGACAACTGGTTTAGCTTTAAAAATTTGGCAAAGTTTGCAAAAATTAGTTTGGTCTTTTTGGCATTTGTCAAAATTAGAACTTTCATCGACGTTTGCTCAAAAACGCCTGAACCGATTTCAGATATTTAAAAAGCATTTGATGTATCTCGATGAGGATTATCGTCTCTCAGTTTTGTGCGACGATCGGCCGAGCCGTTTCTTTGTAATTTGGAAAAAAGTGTTAAACCTTTCGTCCAGATTTAAGCTCATACTACCGAACCGATTTTAAAAATCAAAAACTGTACGAAAGATATTAGTTGGGAATGATACTGATTCTTGTAATTAACTGTTGAAAAAAAAATTAAGCCGATTTTTATGGAACTTTTTTTGGCGATATATATCATGGTCTATAAGAACTTACTGAATTATTACGGCCTTACGACAAGTAGTTTAATTTTAAAAATTTAAAGTTTGAGAAAATGAGTAGTTTTTTTGACGTTTGTTAAAAATAAAATTAGATGATTTAGTCGGTATAACGATAGTGTACTTGGTCTTGAACATGGTAAACCATTAAAGTCCTATGGAAACTGGTTCAATTATAATTATTGATTAATTAAAATTATTGATTTTTGAAAATTTGCTTTTAGAAAATATTCCGAGTTAACGTGTTCGTTCGTTCGTTTGCAATGATGTGTAATAAATCCACTCAGAATACTTATAATCACTCATAAATTAATTTATTTTTTACTGATTAAGTCGATTATTTACACATATCGGGAAGTTCATGTAACTTGCCTCAAGGCTAAATACCAAACCAACTAGTTGCTTATTTATCCATGGGTATACTCCTAGACAATATAATAATGGGTAATTATTTTGTAAAAATTCAATTTGGATTCAAAAAGAAAATTAACACAATTGATGCTGTGCTAGACTTTTTGAACTTTATATCAAATTCACTGGAAGATCATAAACACTGTGGGGCACTATTTTGCGAACTCAGCAAAGCATTCGATTGTGTTCCACATGACATATTTCTCAGGAAACTGGAATATTATGGATTTAGAGGCGTAGCCCTTAAACTGAAGCAATCATACCCATGTAACAGGTATCAGTTTGTGGAATGGAAGAATAAACGAAGTGAGATAGCAAGATTAAATGCAGGGGTTGCCCAAGGGAGTATTCTTGGACCACTTCTTTTTATTATATTTGTGAATGATCTACCACCGAACATTAGCTGCCACACAACGCAATTTGCAGACGACACGGCATTGGCGGTTGCGGACGAGAACATCGCAAATATGAATGAAAAAATTCAATAAGCCTACAAGCAAGTTGAAAACTGGTTTTCAGCCAACAAAATTGTACTAAACAATAGGAAAACTGTCCATATTAACTTTACTTCCAGTAGGAGACATAAGGAGCTGCATGGAGAGGAAGTTAAATATTTGGGTCTCACTATGGACAGCCTGCTAACCTGGGCGAAGCACTTATATTCAATATGTACTGAGCTCTCAAAATCAATATATGCCATCAAAAGAGTTAGGCACATTATAAATGAGGAATGCGCCAGAGAGGCTTACTTTGCCATGTTTCAGTCTGTGTTCTCATATGGAATATTGGCATAGGGACACTCGGCGCATACCTCCAAGATAATGGATTTACAGAAGAAGGCTGTAAGGGCTGTAATCGGAGAAGCCTCACCTCGGGAGCACTGCAGACCCTTGTTTACTAAATTTAGAATACTGACTGTTACCAGCCTCTACATCTACCAACAGGCGATTGCGGTCCATGCAGACAGAACAAATCATGTACTGGACGTCCATGGCCACAACACGCGGAACAGGTATGCTGTTGTACCTCCAAAACTGAAGCTGAAATCCTCGCAAAGGAACAAGCTGGGTGTCGAGATCTACAACAGGCTCCCCAATGAGTGGAAGAGTCAAAGCATGAATGGTTTCAATGCTGCCGTTAAAAAACATCTTATAGATCAACCTATCTATTCAATTAATGAATTTTTTAATCCAAGATAAATATTAATTGTCATTAGGTTAATCTTAGAGTTGTTCATAAACATAACTGATATTAGTTTAGTTATATTATAGTATAATTGTATTGACTTAAATTGTAAATGTTGAATTTGAATAAAGTATCTATCTATCTATCTATCTATAACATAAGTAAACATATATATACTATGGGTGTGTTCGACTTGGGGTGCGTTCGACTTGGACGCTTACGCGCTGTGAGCACGCCATGAGCGCGCTTTCATCGTTCGACTTGGCGCTGTGAGTGTCACATAAGTACGCTCGTAGCACCATGGTGGGATGCTCGTAGCACATATTTTGCGCTCATACGTGCTCACGCCACAGAGGTAGGGCAGCGTGAGCGTGAGCGTCAGTTGTTTTTACTATCTGTCATTTCATTCATTTATTAATTGTCAAATTCTTTATAATCGCGCAAAAATGGCAAGCTGTATATCACAATTATTTTTTAATAATAATATTAATATTGATTAATTTTAAATTTAATTAATTTTAAATAATTTTAAATTTAATATTACTATTAATTAAGCATAAGCTAACCAAATTTTATTTATTTATTAATTATTAAATTCTTTATAATCCCGCAAAAATGCCAAGTTGTATATCACATTTATTTTTTAGTATTAATATTAATATTAAATTAATTAATTTTAAATAATTTTAAATTTTAATTTTAATATTAATGTGAATTAAGCATAAGCAAACCAAATTTCATTTATTTATTAATTGTTAAATTCTTTATAATCCCGCTGAATGATCCAGAAAGTACTAAAATTTACACAATTACCGTTACCGCCATTTTGATGGTTATTGACGCTCACAGTATCCAAAACGAACGGAATTTAGTTATCGATTCTGAGCGCTTATCGGCCAAGTCGAACGCTAAAAATTCGTGCTTATAAGCGTGAGCGCTCACAGCACGTAAGCGTCGAAGTCGAACGCACCCTATATATGCATACTATTTTGACGTTTGACGTTTGACAGTTTTGTTGCGAATGGCGGCACATAGGTTTTTTGTCTTTCAATGTTGTTAGACTTGTTTTATTAACAGACCCATTGTCTAGGGAGCAACATACGAAGTTGGTATGACAGAGAAATGTCATGTTCGCAGTGATTAGCTCTGTGTGTTTCATTCAAAGTTCATTTTAGTCTAGCTTAGATTTTAAACAATTTTTTAATTATAATTGTGTTTTAAACAATAATTTAGGCTTACGTTTTACGCATAGTGTAACATTTTATTAATTTTTTTTGTTAAGCTTACGTTTTATGCATAGGATTACATTTTATACATGGGATTACATCTTATTAATTATTTTAGTTACTGTTACGTTTTATAGATAATTCTAGTTACGCTTACGTTTTATGGATAATTATAGTTAGGCTTACGTTTTATGGATTATTCTAGTTAGGCTTACCTTCTATGGATAATTATAAATAGGTTTAGGTTTCATTACTTTTTTTTCTTAACAAACAATCCAATTAAGGAACTCATTTTCATTATCATTCATTTTCAATTTCTTACTTAACTTGAAACATGAATAGCAATATTTTCTGCCAAGAGTGCCAGGTTTCATTCGCACACCGTGCATCATTGTTTCGTCACATGAGGCGGAAACATGGAGAGAATCCCAGACTTGTTTATCCTAATGCCTGTTCCTTGTGTGAAAAAACTTTTAAGAATAAACGTTCGTTAACACGACATATCACCCAAGTGCACGCCAATATCCCACCAACTTCTTCTACATTGTCCTTAGTTCGTTCCAAGTCCTTACCTTCATCTACTACCTCAGCTGTGTCATTAATTCAACACTCAACACACTTGTTTTCTCCGAAATCCTCTGGTTCACCATCCAATTCATCCACGCAAGTTACTTGTCATCCATCTTCTATTCCCAAATCTCCACTCAGTTCAAAGGTAAATATTAATTCTGATCCATCTACCTCAGCTCCTCTTGGGACACGTCCTCATATGGCTTTATTGCCACAACCCTCCAATTCATCCAGGCAAGTTACTTTTCATCCATCTCCTATTCCCAATTGTCCACTCAGTTTGAAGGAAAATTTTACAGGTATGTAGTAGTAATACATTACTTTTATTCTTTACAGTGTTACTTAGATATTTTTCTTATAGGTACACCCTCAAGAAATAAAAGGATTATATGTCCATTTCCTGAATGCTATTTGGTTTTCTCCAGATATAATAATTTTTACAATCATTTTGAGTCTCACCACAATACCATAATTGATTATGAAGAAGTTGTGTTTCAAACATTAAATGGTAAGAAATCATTTTTTCTCATAATTTATGTCTGTAATCATACAATTATTTACATATGTTGCTTTTTTGCAGATTTTGTACTATGGAAATCGGATGTCGAACAGAAGGAGAATTCACATTACATTCAAGGAAATTCGGGATATACCACATCAAAGAACTGCAAGACAAAATATTATAACTGTCACAGGTCATATACTTATGAGCAGCAAAACACAATACGCACTTCTACTAAAAATACTATCAAAACTGGATATGCATGCCCTTCAAGGATCGCTTGCACTGTTGATGGTAATCATGCAGTTAAAGTGCGGTTTTGGAAAACCCATATAGGACATACAAAGCAGATCAACAAATCTATTTCATTAGATAAACACTCAAAAGAAAATATCAAGGTAAGTTTCTAGTTTTTCAGCATGATTATGAAATTTGATTCATATTTCTTTTAATAATTATTGTAATTATGTCTTTTACAGATGAAATAATAACAGGAGTTTCAGAGGACAAAAACCTCAATAATATTCGGGATAGTGCATACAAAGGAAATTTATCCCTAGATCCTACTAATACGGGGTTCGATAATAGCATTTTGGAAACGGAAATGCTTGAAAAATCAAACAAATTAAGAAGCTGTTTTGATAATAATACAACAGATATAATAGAACAGCGAAACAATGTTGTATTTGCAACAGATTCATGGTCTTCAATCATATCCGGGTTAGATTTTCTTAGGAATGAAATTTTTAATATAAAAGATACAGCAGTACAAGATAAACAGAGTAAAGCATTTGCAAGAGCTTTTGCTGAATTTTCTGCTGTACTACCAAGCTTTCGAAGAACTCAAGACGCAAACATACAGAAACATATCGCAACACAGCGATCAAAATCAACTCCAAAATAGGCTTTCTGATTTATTATAATATAATATTATCTAGTATATTTTTGTTATTATTATATTAATACAAAACATAATAAGATTATAATACCAAATTTAGTTTCAAATACGCAATTACTAAAATTCATTAATTTTTATTTCAAATTTTGCGCCATTAATTTTAATGCCAAAAGCAGCGCCATCACGTCGAACGGAGGACCCTTTGAGTATTCCTTCTGAACGTAAAAATCAGAGGAGAGAAACGTCTATATGATCGTATTCTATACATGAATACATCATTTTTTAATATTTCCTTGGGGCACGATACCATACACCACTAGTTACCATCATTAAATGATAAACTAGTTGGTTTGGTATTTAGCCTTGAGGCAAGTTACATAAACTTCCCGATATGTTTAAATAATTGACTTATTCCGAGTGGATTTATTACACATAATTGAAAACGAACAAACACTTTGACTCGGAGTATTTTCTAAAAGCAAATTTTCAAAAATCAATAATTTTTATAATTGAACCAATTTCCAGGACTTTAATGGTTTATTATGTTCAAGACCAAGTACTCTATCATTATACAAAGTAAATAGTCTAATTTTAATTTTAACAAATGTCAAAAGAACTACTCATTTTCTCAAACTTTAATGAATTTTTAAAATCAAACTATTTGTCGTAAGGCCGTAATATTTCAGTAAGTTCTATAAGACCATGGTATATATCACTAAAAAAAAATCCATAAAATCGGCTTAATTTTTTTTTCAACAGTTAATTACAAGAAAACGGCTCGGTAGATTTTCACCTAAAACTAATCAGTATCATTCCCATTCCCAACTAATATCTTTCGAACAGTTTTTGATTTTTTAAAATCGGTTCGGTAGGATGAGCTTAAATGTGGGCGAAAAGTTTACCACTTTTTTTCAAATTACAAAGAAACGGCTTGGCAGATCGTCGAACAAAACTGACAAAAGATAGTCGTCACCGAAATACATCAAATGGCTTTTAAATTTCTGAAATCGGTTCAGGCGTTTTTGAGAAAACGTCGATCAAAGGTCTAATTTTGACAAATGTCAAAAAAACGATACCAATTTTTGCAAACTTTGACGAATTTGCTTTGACGAAGCTAAACGAGTTGTCGTAGGGCCGTAATATTTTAGTATTACCTAATAAACTATGGTATCTACCGTCAAAAAAAAATCATAAAAATTCGTCGAAATTTTTTTTTAAAAAACTTTATTACAAGAAAACGGCCCGGCCGATCTTTACCAAAAACTAATCAGCACGATTCCCAACCAATATCTATGGAATGGTTTTGAATTTTCAGAATCGATTCAGAATTGCGGGCTAAAACGAAAATTTTTCACTTTTCTGCAATTTACAAAGAAACAGCTCAGCCGATCGCCGCACTCAGGAACGATAGTCCTCATCGAGATACATCGAATGGCTTTTAAATTTTTGAAATCGGTCCAGCCGTTATAGAGAAAACGCGTTTTACGGCAAAAAATCTGTTCACACATACACACATACTTTTTCCAAATTTGGTCTCATTCGATTCAGAATGGCTTGAAACGTCGAGAAAACATAAAATTAGCGAATCGGATTTTTTGATGAAAACATAAACTTCTCCTTCGGGAAGTTAAAAATAAAGCTGTATTTCACTTAGGTGGCTTCAGTTTTTTTCTGGCCTATGTACAATTTTGCTCTATGATATTGTTGGCAGCACTGACGTTTGTATATGATGGCGTTGGTAGCGTGTTATTTAAGCATACAGTACAGTGAACAAGTGTGAAGGCGCCTTTATTATTTATTGTATGTAATTCTTTAAATGTGCCTCATGGCGTGAAACTTAGACAATGCAATAATATGGTTAATGGACAATATAATAAAATAATGGTTTTGTAGTTTACGATATTACACTTATTAAGAATTATGATTGTCGTTGATTAAATCTAAATTACATGTAATGTCTCCTGAATTTTATTTAGCAGTGCCCTCCCCTCGACCATTTTGGTTATGTTCTGTAAGTACCTCATGGCATATTTATCTTGATATATCTTATTGTGTATTTAATTATTTAAACAGTATATGTATTAAAATATTAAATTTTATTCTAATATAACCTCAAGAACGTACGTATTATATTAACTCGTGCATAAATATATTTTTGGTCGTCCAACATTGCACTTTTTAAACATGTGCTGATATAATAATAATTATGAATAATAAAGTAATACATGACTTTCATGAGACTTATTTAGATATAATTTACATAGATTTAAGTGCTATTTTCGGGTAAGCTTGCCCTGTTATGAAAACGTGCCGGTGAGTAGTTTGAGGTTATGTCACTTTCTCGTTTTTTCCCCTCAAGATTCTTTTTTATTTGACTAATTGTGAATTGAATTTGTATTATAGCGTTTGTCGGAAAGTTACTTCGTTTTTTTAATTAATATAGATGTATTTTTTTAACTTAACATGAGCCTTGTAATTTTTATATGATTTGAAAGAATTAAGCAGCATTTTGGACATATTTCTCTTTTGCTATGAAAAAGGCAAAAATAATGTTTTAGTCAAAATGAAATGTTAATAAATGATACGTTGATAGTACGACAATACCAAAACTGGTTTGCTAAGTTTTGTTCCTGGTATTCTAAGATGCACCACGTCCAAGAAGTACGGTTGAAGCTAATGAAGACTCGAAAAAGTTATTAGTTGATGCAAACTGGCTAATAACAATACATCAGATCTCATTGAGTTTAAATATATCAAATTCAACAATTCATGATCACTTTCATGAAAGAATTAAGCAGCATTTTGGACATATTTGCCTCTTTCCCTATGAAAAAGGCAAAAATAATGTTTTAGTCAAGGGGCATTCAAGTATTACGTAAGCACTATAGGGGGGCGGGGGGTTATTGATTTGCTTATTTTGGATGACATGGGGGGCAGGAGAGTCTAGATGATGATTACGTCATAGGTGGTATTTGTATTTCTTGACCGAATGGCAACCTTACATTGTCTCTGCTTGAGCTCGTCTTGCTAATGAACTGATGTGCATTATTCAAAATTTAGAGCACCATGATGTTGAATGGCTCGATGAGAACTATGTAGACATTTCAAAATCGGATGAAAGTGAGCAGAGTTACAACACTGAGCAGCAATCCAATGTCATCGAAAACTTAGAATCATGGATTCGGGTTTCATGGACTGAAGACTGTTAATTTGAATTTAATGTGTACCAAAATTTAAAATAAGTTTGTTATGTTCGTAAGATTATAATAATTTTATTACCTTATGTTGAATACCATATCAGTAAAATCTTTACATCCTAATCTATTTTCTTATTTTTAAATTATAATTATAACATAATAATTGCAATATTTAAAAAAACAATACATTAATTGCAAAATGTTTACGTAAGCATGTGGGTAGGGGGTAAAAGCTTTGCTTACTTTTGTTAACAAGGGGGATGGGGGGGTAAATGTAATAAATCTGCTTATGTAATACTTGAACGATCCCAAAAATGAAATGTTAATAAATTACATGTTGATGGTACGACAGTACCAATACTGGTTTGCTAAGTTTTGTTCCTGGTATTTTGATGTCAAAGATGCACCACATCCAAAAAGTATGGTTGAAGCTAATGAAGACTCTAGAAAGGTATTAGTTGATGCAAACTGGCTAATAACGATACACCAGATCCCATTGAGTTTAAATTTATCAAATTCAACAATTCATGACCACTTGAAAGGTCTGGGATGTTCCTAAAAGCTCAATGTATGGTTCTTATATAAAGAAACACTGGCGTTTGCAATTCGTATCTGAAAATTCCTGAAAATTAACAGATTTTGAAGCAAATTCTCACTAGAAATGTAAAATGGGATGTATAGAATACAATACATGCTCATGAAATCTGTTACCTCAAAACAGTTGCAAAGCTGAAATTCACCAGACAAAGGTGATGCAGTACATTTGGTGAGATTTTAAAAATTGTTTTACAGATTGTCCAGGATAACATAACGGTTAATTTGTATTCCTTATCATCAGCTGAATAAATTAAATGATGTACTTCAATAGAAAAGATCAAAATTTACCAACAAGCAAGTATAGTATTCCATCAAGACGACGTAGGACCTCACATAAGTTTGGTCAATAGCCAAAAGTTTTTACTTGGGGACTACTCAGTTCCAAATTTATCACATTCTCCAGACCTGTCATCATGGTAACATTATTTGTTCTGATCACTAAAAAATTTGTAGGTGGTATTTCGTTTACATCAAAATAAAGGTCAAAAAGCACTTTGATAAGTTTTTTGTCAATAACAACCAGAAAATTTATGACTTCAGAATTATGCTAATACCAGAAATATAACAAAACATGTTTGATCAATACATAATTTATTAAAGTATTTGTTCATGTCTACAAAATGCCTACAAAAAACGAAGTTACTTTCAGAACAACCCGGTATTTTCTTTCAGCAGTAAGACCAGATAAAAATAGCATTTCTCCTATGTAATATTTTCACTCAAATCTTTGACTGACAATTTAATTCAAGTATTAGATTATATAGCCTTTTATATAACAAAATAAGGTGTAGGTGCATTGATTACTTGTTTATCATATAGTTATAATAGGAATTTGACATGGAGGATAGGTTGAAGCATTCAGGATTATTCTTTATGAATGACAACGTAATTAGCAAAATTATACAGGGAACAGTGAGAATGTTAAATTGTCAGAAAAGATTCTTACATAAGGACAAGAAACTAAGGAAAAAAATATTCTTAATGCTCTTTTCTGTATTTTAAATATATCCTTTAACAGTGACGTGTATCCCCAGAATTGTATTCCATATGCAAATAGAAATTAGAATAATAAATTGAAAGAAGGCAATTTAAAGTCACTTTTGATTTAAGAGTCCTCAACATAAAACAAGTTTTTGTTAACTTAGGTACTGGTATGGAATGAATGATTGTCCCAGTTCAAGTTTTTTTTTGTATTTGGATGTCTAAGAATTTAGAGATAGAGGAAAATTCTAATTGCTGTTGATAGTTAAATAATTGATCTCATTACTTATCCTAATTATTCAGACATAATTTGGGTTTTGTTGTAATTGAGCAAAAGATTATTAGAATTGAACCAATTTGGAATTGAATTCATAACTAGATAATTCATATATTTTAGTTCAATGATGATATTATGACAAGCATATAACTAAATGTCTCAATGTTGATATTGAATTTACTGATTTTCTATTTATTAACCATTAATTCAATAAATATTTGTCACATAATAATCTCATTTTTTTATTACAGTGCTGTTATCGGAGAAGATTTTGGGTCTGCCTTTGCGAATGTAACAAGTGAGTTTTATGTAAAATAATGAATTGATGATTAAATCTACAATTCCATTGAATAAGTGGTTAAGTCAAATTTTGGCCAAAATCTAGTAGAAGTAGATACTTATTTTCTTTGCTCTGTATAAGCTAATTCAAGTTATTAATTCAAAGTTATGACGATGTGAGTATTTGTCCATCTTCCTTTTCTTTCACATATGATATAATATTCATGATAATTTGTTTTATATTACATTTGTCTTGTCTTGTGCACAAATTCAGGAGTCAGTGAATAATTGATCAACTCTAAAATCTCATTACTCATAAGAGTACTTAATTGCAATATCTAATCAGATATTTAAATTACATTTTACATGAACCATATTAAAGTACATTTTGCAAAATGTCAACGATTTGTTTCAAACAGTTTTTACACAACTATTCAAACTTTATAATTTATGCCCTGAAAAGAAGCAAAAATGGACTTAATACTTATTCACTGGGATGACATAAATATTGAAAAGCATATGACTTGAACAGTTGAAGTTGATAAAGAAAGTTGTAAAATTGTTTTTTTTTTTTTGCTTCCAGATTGTTGTGATTTGTCATTACCTAACAGTTTTGTATAATGAAACACATGATTTATGTTAATTTTCAATTACTTTCTAATACATAAAATATTCAGAAGCATTTCATTTTAAAAAAATGGCTAGACTACATTTTGGAATATGTTTTCGGGTTCATAGTTGCAAGCAGACTGCCTGATTTATATTTTAAGAAATATAATTTAACTAAAAATGCTTAGTAGAGAAAGCATGAACTTTATATTGATACATTGCTTAACAGATATTTAAATAAATCATTAATCAATCAACTTGTTTAGTTATGTTACAATTTTCTGTTGTTATAATATCAACTTTAGGAATGTTCAGGAATATTTTTGAGATTTATTATAATCCTTATATTTTTCATTTACAATTACAATGATGATACAATGACAAGCATATAACTAAATGTCTCAATGTTGATACATGATTTCACTGATTTTCAATTTCATAATCATCAATTCAATATACATTTGCCAATTAATAATCTAATTTTTTTTTTTTTTTACAGTGCTGTTATCGGAGAAAATTTGGGGTCTGCCTTTGTGAATGTAACAAGTGAGTTTTTGTTTTCAATAAAATACTGAAAAATTTTTATTAAATATTTACAAGCATATGATTAACGGTTAAAGTTGATAAAGAAAGTTGTAAAATTTGTTTTTTTTGTGTTTCGAAATTGTTGGAATTTTATTATTAAATCTTGACAAGCATATGGATGAAGTTTAAATTTGATATTATAAAAATAAGTTGTAATTTTATTTTTTTTCATTGTTGGGATTTATGTCATAACAAAGCACATTTACATTAATAATAATAATAATGAAAGACTTTTTTTAAATCGATATTTATAGATCATTGAGATTTTTCGTTGATAATTTATTTTATTATTATTACTTTGTTGTTTTATTATTTTTATTGTTGCTCTTTTGTTATGTTTATTGTTATTTGTTATTTATTGTTTTTATTGTACTTCACTGTTTTTCTAATATTATTATTATTCACAAGTTCTATTTATTAATTTTGTTATCATTATTTGCTTTTTATTTTGTATTTTCATTATATGGATTTCATTTCAATGGAAATACTTTTCTTTATTTTGTATTATATTTTATTTCTTTTGTTTAATGTAATTACATTAATTTGTAGTTACTTTTTATTATATAAAATAATATTAAATTCATTTTAAAAAATGGTTAGAAGACACTGTCTGATTTATATTTTATTAAATATAATCAAACTAAAAATGCTTAGTAGAGAAAGTATGAACTTTATATTGATACATGGCTTAACAGAAATTTAAATAAATCATTAATCAATCAACTTGTTTAGTTATGTTACAATTTTCTGTTATAATATCAACTTCAGCAATATTTTTATGAGATTTATTATAATCCTTATATTTTTCATTTACAATTTTAATGATGATATTATGACAAGCATATAACTAAATGTCTCAATGTTGATACATGAAATAACTGATTATGAATTAATTCATTATTAATTTAATAACCAATTGCCAGATAATAATATTATTGTTCTTATTACAGTGCTGTTATTGGAGAAGAATTGGTATCAGCCTTTGAGAATACAAGTGAGTTTTTGTTTTATGTGAAATAATGAAAATTTATGGTTATATATTGACCAGCATATGACTGAACGGTTTAAAGTTGAAGATAAAAAAAAGTTGTAACATTTGTTCTCAGTTTGTTGGGATTTATATCATAATGAAACAGATTATTCATGTTAATTTATAATTACTTTCTAATACATAAAATATTCAGAAGCATTTCATTTTAAAATATGGCTAGACTACATTTTCGAAGGTGTTTTTGGGTTCATAGTTGCAAGCAGAGACTGTCTGATTTCTATTTAAAGAAATATAATTTAACTAAAAGTGCTTAGTAGAGAAAGCATGAACTTTATATTGATACATGGCTTAACTGAATTAAAAAAAAAAAAATTAGTCGAGTAACTTGTTTAGTTGTTACAATTTTCTGTTGTTATATCAGCTATGATGTTCAGTTATGTTTGAATATTTTCACAAGATTTATTATAATGCTTATATTTTTCATTTACAATTTCAATGATGATATTATGACAAGCATATAACTAAATGTCTCAATGTTGATACATAAATTCACTGATCTTCAATTTAATAATCATCAACTCAATATATATTTGCCAAGTATTAATCTAATTTTTTTTTTTACAGTGCTATTATCGGAGAAGATTTGGGGTCAGCCTTTGAGAATACAAGTGAGTTTTATGTGAAATAATGAAAGTTCATTAGTAAATTTTGACCAGCATATGACTGAACGGTTCAATATTGATATTATAAAAAAAAGTAAATAGTTTTTTTGATTGTTGGGATTTATGTCACAATGAAGCACAGTTACATCAATTAATAATAATAATAACTTTTTTTTCTAAATCAATATTTATGAGATTGGGAATTTTTCATTGTTATTATATTTTTTTTTGATTATTTAGTTCATTATTATTATTTTGTTGATTTATTATTTTTAAGATTGTTCTTTTGTTATTTTTATTATTATTTGTTAGCTATTGTTTTTCTAATATTATTTTTACAACTCATAAATTTTATTATTTTTTTTTTCATTACAATTATTTCACATACAATTATTTTTTGTTTATTTCCAGATTGTTGGAATTTTATTATTAAATATTGACAAGAATATAATGGAATAGTTTAAAATTGATATTGGGGTTTATATTACAATGAAACACATTTACATTGATTAATAATAATAATAATGAAAAAATAAAGCGATGAACTTTCTATGTGAAATCGATATTTGAAATCAATGTTTTTTTTTATTTATATTATTATTATTTTGTTATTTTATTATTTTTAATATACTTCTGTTTAATCTATTATTATTTGTTATTTATTGCTTTTCTAATATTGTTTCTATCATTTACGTTTTATTTTATTTATTAATTTTATTTTCATTTGCTTTTTGTTTTATGACAATTATCATTATATGGATATCATCACAATGGAAATACTTTCCATTATTTTGTATTATATTTTATTTCTCATTATTATCTTATGTTACTATGTTACAATTATTATATTTTTGATTTACTATTTTAATGATGATATTATGACAAGCATATAACTAAATGTCTAAATGTTGATACATGAATTCACTGATTTTCAATTCAATAATCATTAATTCAATAACCATTTGGCCGATAATAACCTTACTATTCTTATTACAGGGATGTTATCAAAAATGATTTGAGGATGGCATTTGTGAACATCAGGTGATTTTGTGCAGTTATCTGAATCAGGTATGTTTTAATTTTTATAATTTTGATTTACTATTTCAATGATGATACTATGACAAGCATATAACTAAATGTCTCAATGTTGATACATGAATTCACTGATTTTCAATTCAATAATCATTAATTCAATAACCATTTGCCCAATAATAACCTTACTATTCTTATTACAGGTATGTTATCAGAAATGATTTGTGGATGGCATTTGTGAATGTCAGATGATTTTGTGCAGTTATCTGAATCAGGTATGTTTTAATTTTTATAGTTTTGATTAACTATTTCAATGATGATACTATGACAAGCATATAACTAAATGTCTCAATGTTGATACAAGCAATCACTGATTTTAAATTTAATAATCGTTAATATAATAACCATTTGCCTGATAATAATCTTATTATTTTTATTACAGTGATGTTATCAGAAAATATTATAGGATTGCATTTTTTAACGTCAGCTGGTGCAGTTATGAATATCTTCATCAGGTATTGTTTAATTTTTATAATTTTGATTTAGTATTTCAATGATGGTACTATGACAAGCATATAACTAAATGTCTCAATGTTGATACTTGATTTCACTAATTTTCTATTTAATAATCATTAATTCAATAACCATTTGCCCGATAATAATCTTATTATTCTTATTACAGTGATATTATCAGAAACGATTGGAGGCTTGATGATTGTAAGCGAGTGATTTTGTTTACTTAAGTGAAGAAATATGTAAATATAAGGTATGTTTTAATTTTTATGTTTTTGATTCACAATTTTAAAGATATCATTATTTTTTAATTTTTTAAAAATTTGAACTTAAATTATCATGATGAGACGATGACGAGACTGAGATATTGTATTGCTATGAACGTTGCTTTTTTTGTGAGTTTTTCATTAAGATTAGTAACAATCATATTGGGTACAATTTCTTAGATGACTTTTGGCAATCTGATCTTATATCTTAATCTTGATTTTAGGTTGATTTAATTTTACATATTTCACTAATATATTATGAAAATATTTCAGATGAGGAAGAAGACGAGTGTGATGCATAATGTTCTTAATACTTAAATAAGCGAGGTGAAATGAAAAATCAAAGACTATATTATATCTCAGCCAGTGTGAGATGAAACGTTTGTAATCTATCATCGAAGGCAATTTAACAGCAAAAACTGCAAAAAATCTAGCAAAGGTGCGCATTTGAAGCAGAGATTGTTTACAACTATGGTTTACAATATGAAATAGGGATAACATTATAATTTTAAAACATTTAACATAACATAACATAACATAATATAACATAAAAACATTTTATTTGTATTGAAGAAGTGATGAAATTTTTGGGAAGACAGGTCTAGCGGTTTTGGAGATCCAATAAAAAAAGTGAAAAAAAATGCCATTTGGCTGGCAAAAATGGTCATTAGATATATGCACATCAAATTATCAGATATTTTATGAAGATTTTAACAATAAGTATAAATTTTGTTTACATTTCTTTGGGTTCCGTAACGTCGTTTATCCGTTATACTGTGACGCGGCGCCCATGCGCTTCGATATTTCGTTTCTACGCAGCTAACGTATCGTGATTGCTTTGAAAAGTTCAAAATGTTTTTTTTTTTTTTAATATATATACATTATTTTCATATCTGTCAGACCGAGGTGCCTATATATACATTTCATTTCATTAATATAATATCTATTATAATTAAAATATCTTTATATATAACTCTTCAGTCTTCTTTGGTTTCAATTTCCTTATAGTATTTTTTTATTTTTCTTTTAAATTTATCGTCGTCATCAATTTCAAAGTATAAATAAAATTTTCCAGAAAGGTAAATTTTTTTCAGAAATCCTAAAAATCTCAACTTTTTTTAAAAAAAAATGATTTTTGGTACGTGAAGTTCCAGCAATTTGCCTTAAGAGCCCAATGCCATTCACCACTAGCTTAAAAATAAGTAGCAAATTATTTTCATAATTTTGTTAATTTTTGTGAAATTGAAAACTGATGTTCAATATTATGAATGTGAAAAGCTATTTTAAACCTCCTTTTTCATATAAGGATTACTAGTAGTTATACATAACATTTTCAGATATTAGATAAGTAGTTATAATTTTAGTATCTAGTAAGGGTGAAGATTCAATTTAGACCTATACTATTTGAAAACCCAGGGCAATCTGGGACAAATATTGCTTTTAGAAAAACCTGGGACGTATGGTCACCTTAATATAAGAGTTTTAGAATTTTAGCTAGAATTAAAAATAAAATTCATTCTCCGAAACGGCTGAATCACCTTTTGCTAAAAACTAATCAGTACGTCTTCTTATTAATAGGAATATAATGTTTTTTGAATATTTCAAGTCAATTGATCTGTGCTCCTGAAAATGTGGAAAAATTGTATCCATACATACACACAATAATTTTATCTAAAGCAGGCCAAAATATTCAGAAACCTTCAAAATGTGAAGATATGCAAACATGCTTATTTTCGATTTTTGGACGATTATAATAATTTACCTTATGGGATGTTTAAAAAAAAATGATACAAAGCTAAATAAAAGAAAATGATGATATTATGACAAGCATATAACTAAATGTCTCAATGTTGATACATGATTTCACTGATTTTCAATTTAATAATCATTAATTCAATAATCATTTGCCCGATAATAATCTTATTATTCTTATTACAGTGATATTATCAGAAACGATTGGAGGCTTGATGATTGTCAGCGAGTGATTTTGTTTACTTAAGTGAAGAAATATGTAAACATAAGGTATATTTTAATTTTTATGTTTTTGATTTACAATTTTAAAGATATTATTTTATAATATTTTTAAAATTTGAACTTAAATTTTCTTGATGAGACGATGACGAGACTGAGATGTTGAATTGCTATGAACGTTGCTTTTTTTGTGAGTTTTTCATTAAGATTAGTAACAATCATATTGGGTGCAATTTCTTAGATGACTTTTGGCAATCTGATCTTATATCTTAATCTTAATTTTGGATTGATTTATTATTACATATTTCAGTAATATGTTATGAATCTATTTCAGATGAGGAAGAAGACTAGGATGATGCATAATGTTCTTAATACTTCAATAAGAAGATGAAAAGAAAAGTGTGTGATAAAACGTTTGTAAGCTATCATCAAAGGCAATTTAACAGCAAAAACTACAAAAAATCTGGGAAAGGTGCGCATTTAAACCAGAGATTGTTTACAATATGAAATAGGGATAACATTATAATTTATATTATCTTAAATCGTTCTTACAAAATTTGACAAAATTTTAGATTCATTCAATATTTGTCTAGCAAAAGACCTCTAATTAAAAGATTTCTATTATCTGCACTCTTCGTATTTAATTAATTTATACGCCATTTTATAGGTCTATTTGTTAAAAACCGATATATCAATTTTCAACTTTGTACCTCATCTTATGGCCGAGGTGTCATTGAAAATATGCCAAAGTGGCCCCTTCTTTCAAACTCACTTTTTGGCGTAACCATAAAAAATATCGAAAAAAATTTTATGTGATTCTACTCACATTGACTCAGACCACATTACGTAGAACAATCGATTCCAAAAAATCGTTTACTATTAGCTGAAAAAGACAAAATAATTTTTCAATTGATTATTATTTAGGGTAGTGCATTTATTTGGACCACTTTCTAATTAGCGTTATTCGAAAGCTTATTGTTTTTTCTTTGAGTACTGCAAATATTGTTCAAATCAATTTAGTGGAACACATTGGAAAATTGAAAAGAACAGAGCAAGTACACCCGCGGGTAACGCTAATAGTACCCTGCAATTGCATAGAGTTCGTTCGGACGCAAAACAGTGCGCGATGCGCCGAAACGATTCTTAAGAAATTCTGAATGCGAAAATATTTATTTTATAGTTATATATGTATATATACATATGAAATAAAAATATAATGAAACATTTTAGTTTCAACAAACACAAAAAAACTTTTTTTTGAATGATAGTTGTAACATTGTGACAATAAAGCCCTTATTGTGACCATTTTTTATCAGTACTACAATTTCATTTGATGTAAAAAAATATATACCTCTAATAAAATATAGCTGGATGTACTTTGTATAGTTTGCTATGAAAAATAAATTAAAAAAATTCATGTAGAAGCTTTTTGTATAGTACTTCAGTAATTTACAAAAATTATTACTGAAAGTATTCTAATAATCATTATTTTTATAATATAAAATATAATAATTAATTTATTTCGAAAATTATATTATTTATAAATATAATATTTGTATCTTTTGTGTGGTTTATGCGAAAGATCGTGTTTTTTTTAACTAATTTTGTATTAGCTAATTCGCATCTACTTATAATATAGTGACATTTTAAATGCATTTAATTTCAGTATATATTTTTAACTTTCCGCAAGTAAGTTATTGTAATCGTTCAAAAATCGCAATCGAAAATGTTTGCACATCTTCACGTTTCGAAGGTTTCTGAACATTTTGGAATACAATAGAAAAAATTTATATGTGAGTATGTGTATTTGTGTTATATTTCGTGTATGAATGATGTAATGAACATTCGATTCCTCTTGATGAGGAGACGTACTGATTAGTTTTTAACAAATACAAGTCGGAGATACGGAGCAAAGATAGAAACCGAGTTTTCAAGAGAACGAAAAATCCGATTCAAATGAATCAAAAAAGCTTTTGCTTTTTTGGACGACAAGATTGTTTTTTTTTTAAAAAAAAAACATATTTTTTAATTCTCAAAAATTATTATCGAAAATAATTCGAATCAAATAAATAATTTTAATTTTGCTATTCAGTTTATGCAATTTCTAACTCCGCTTCATTAAGTTTTGTTCATTCACTTTTCAGGCTAACATATTTAAACGCCATCGTTCAATTTAAGAACACTTTTATTTTGTATATAAATTCGAATAATAAAAGCTACAGTATTTATAATAATATATTTGAAAGCATTCAATATTCTTATTTCATTATAGTACGGGAAGTTCCAGTAATTTGCCTTAAGGCACGATACACCACTAGTTTTAGTGATTTAATTAATATAGTAAAACTAATAATGTCTAAAAATTTCAAACACCGTGAATTTATACATATATAACTATAAAATAAATATTTTCGCATTCAGAATTTCTTAAGAATCGTTTCGGCGCATCGCGCACTGTTTTGCGTCCGAACGAACTCTATGCAATTGCAGGGTACTATTAGCGTTACCCGCGGGTGTACTTGCTCTGTTCTTTTCAATTTTCCAATGTGTTCCACTAAATTGATTTGAACAATATTTGCAGTACTCAAAGAAAAAACAATAAGCTTTCGAATAACGCTAATTAGAAAGTGGTCCAAATAAATGCACTACCCTAAATAATAATCAATTGAAAAATTATTTTGTCTTTTTCAGCTAATAGTAAACGATTTTTTGGAATCGATTGTTCTACGTAATGTGGTCTGAGTCAATGTGAGTAGAATCACGTAAAATTTTTTTCGATATTTCTTATGGTTACGCCAAAAAGTGAGTTTGAAAGAAGGGGCCACTTTGGCATATTTTCAATGATATCTCGGCCATAAGATGAGGTACAAAGTTGAAAATTGGTATATCGGTTTTTATCAAATAGACCTATAAAATGGCGTATAAATTATTTAAATACCAGGGTGGGGCCGATTCTGTATGGCAATGCGCCCATACCCCTTTGAATATTTATTATTTCCTTCTATCACATGTGCTCGAAGGTACCCCTCGTTTTCAAATTAGCTAGTTTTGTTTTCAAATTAACCTCAATTTAGTATACAAATATATTAATTAATTATATCAATTCCAAGTATATTACAGAATCATTCATTTTTCGTATGACTTACAAAGAGTAATTAACTTCAGATTTACTCTTCTGGGATTTTGATGAATTTTTGCATGATGATGGTCAAACCGAACACCTTAAAATATGAGGTCTGTGAGGACTGGTCTCTCCATACTTTTTGATTTACATTCCGATTCACAGATGAAAAGAATTAAAAACTAGTTGGTATTGGTGTTTTGTCTTGAGGCAAGTTACATGAACTTCCCGATATGTGTAAATAATCGACTTAGTCAATAAATAATAAATTAATTTATGAGTGATTAAAAGTATTCCTCGTGGATTTATTACACATAGTTGAAAACGAATGAACACTTTAAATCGGAGTATTTTTTAAAAGCAAATTTTACAAATCAATAATTTTTATAACTGAACCAATTTCCATAGGACTTTAATGGTTTAGTATGTTCATTCAGACCAAGTATTCTATCGTTATATCTAGTAAATCGTCTAATTTTAATTTTAACGAACCTTGAAAAAACTACTCATTTTCTCAATTTTAAAAATTAAACTACATGTCGTAAGGCCGTAATATTTCAGTAAGTTCTGTAAGACCATGCTGTATAACGCCAAAAAAAGATCCAGAAGAATCGTCTTAAATTTTTTTTTCAACAATTAATTTCAACCTAAAACTAATCAGTATCATTTCCAACTAATATCTTTGAAACAGTTTTTGATTTTTTAAAATCAATTCGGTAGTATGAGCTAAAATGTGTACGAAATTTTAACACTTTTTTCCAAATTACAAAGGAACGGCTCGGTCGATCGTCGCACAAAACTGAGAAACATTAATCCTCATCGAGATACATCGAATAGCTTTTAAATTTTTGAAATTGGTCCAGACGTTTTTGAGAAAACGTCGATTTACGGCAAAAAATCTGTTCACATACACGCACACACACATACTTTTTCCAAATTTGGTGTCATTCGATTCAGAATGGCTTGAAACATTCGAGAAAACATAAAATTAGCGAATCGATTTTTTTATTGAAAACATGAACTTCTTCTTCGGGAAGTTAATTATCGGTTTCAGATCCCATCAGCTTTATTTTTTAAACTTATTTTTAAGTTTCAATAGTTAAGTATTGCTAAATATTTTTAATTATTTACTGATTTCAAATATTTTCCAAACAAAAATAGAAATATTTGAAACAAATATATAAGTACATATATGCATTTAAATTGGAAACTAAAACTAAATACTAAAACAAATATTTATCAAAATTAAGTGATAAATTGTTTTCGAAAATTATATAATTAAAAATGTATCTGTATAATCAAAAAGGCCATTTGAAGTGTATCTAATAACTTGAAAATCTTTATGTAATTACAATTCAGAGCCTTCAAAAGTGGACAAAATGTTTGTAAAATCAATGAATTCTACGGCTAACATATTTGTAGTTCATTACTAGGGTTTGTCGGTTTTCAAAAACCGTTTTTTTGGCAAAAATTATGGAATTCGAAACCCGATTTTTTAGTGAAAAAACTCGGTTTTCACTGTATAAATGGAAAATGACAAATATAGCCAAATATAAAAGATAGATGAAAGCGTTTTGATTTTTGAAATCATATCTGTTCAATAGCATTTGATATCTTATCAGTCTGCAATGGTTCCCAGAAAGGTTTTGTATATATTAATTTAGATTTTTATACCAGTGTATATATTAATTTAAATTAGTGTGACTTCTTGAAATTTAAATTAGTGTGATTAGTGTGACTTCTTGAAGAAGTAACTTTCTCTACTCAAACTTAAAAAAAAAAAGTTTTAAACCCTAGAAGCCACAAATTAAAGAATAAAAACTTTAAAATTATTATATCAGGCTTTGAAAATAATTAAGCATAATTTGGTCGCAAGTATGAGAGTATATTCTATTTCAGAATATTTTCTTAGAAACAATAAAAGACATGTCTAAGTAGCAATTCGATAGACGTTCTCAGTTTTTTGAAATCATATTTTATTAAACAAAAAAACAATTAGAATTTTTAAAATTAATTAATTAAAATTGCTCAGAACAGACAATACCCGAGTTTAACTTGAAACTAAAATTGATATTAATAAGTATGTATCAACATGTATTTAATTTTTTTTTAAATTTAATGAATGTTTTTTATTTAAAATGTATTATTTTTATTTATTCGAAAACTTTCCTTTCACTATCAAAAAAATATTTTTATTCATACATATGAAAATGATGTATGAGTAACGAATAATTATTTTCAAAGTTATTTAATTAAGATAAACTATTATTTTTTTGTTCTACTAATTAAAATTAAAATTATTTTGTTTACTATCTATAAAATTGAACAATAAATAAATTTAGTCAAATACTGCTCTAAATTACACTAAATTTATGGATAAATTACAGAATATTCAAGCAAAAATTTATTTTCTATATAAAATTCGAAAACCGGTTTTTTAGTGAAATTAAAATTCGAAAACCGGTTTTCTGAAATGTCAGTTTTTGTATAAACTCTATTCATTACTGATTATGATTGATTATTCATCAATATCCCATATATTACCTCATAATTTAAATTACTTAAATCTAACATAATTGAAACACGGTTCATGTTTCACTGAATTCACCTGACTACACTCATTGTTTTTCTAAATGTCCTGTAACAAATTTTAATATTTCCTTCCCCTTGCCTGCCTCCGGTTGTGTTCCTAGAGTTCATCGTGCAGAATTTATTAGGAGTATAATTTAAAACAAAAATTTAAAAAAAATATAAAAAAAGCAAATAAAGAAATGATGATATTATGACAAGCATATAACTAAATGTCTCAATGTTGATACATGATTTCACTGATTTTCAATTTAATAATCATTAATTCAATAATCATTTACCCGATAATAATCTTATTATTCTTATTATAGTGCTGTTATCAAAAAAGATTAGAGGATTTATGATTGTCAGCGAGTGATTTTCTTTACTTAAGTGAAGAAGTATGTAAATATAAGGTACGTTTTAATTTTCATGTTTTTGATTTACAATTTCAAAGATATCATTATTTTTTAATTTTTTAAAAATTTGAACTTAAATTATCATGATGAGACGATGACGAGACTGAGATGTTGTATTGCTATGAACGTTGCTTTTTTTGTGAGTTTTTCATTAAGATTAGTAACAATCATATTGGGTACAATTTCTTAGATGACTTTTGGCAATCTGATCTTATATCTTAATCTTAAGTGTGGATTGATTTAATATTACATATTTCACTAATATGTTATGAATTTATTTCAGATGAGGAAGAAGACTATGAAGAAGATGAGTATGATGCATAATGTTCTTAATTTTTAAATAAGCGAGATGAAAAGAAAAATCAAAGACTATAATGTATCTCAGTCAGTGTGTGATGAAACATTTGTAAGCTATCATCAAAGGCAATTTAACAGCAAAAACTACAAAAAATCTAGCAAAGGTGCGCATTTGAAGCAGAGATTGTTTACAATATGAAATATGGATAACATTATAATTTATATTATGTTAAATCATTCTTACAAAATTTGACAAAAACTTTAGATTCATTCGATATTTGTGTAGCAAAAGACCTCAAATATCATTATCTCTAAAAAAAAAAAACTGCTTAAGATAAATTTTGTAACTAGGTTTGTAAATATAACAAACGTAATAAGCATTATTATATTAATATTATGCTTGCAACGAATAGTGCATTCGGCAAAACGCCGAATACGGAATATTCAGTCTACTCCAGGTAGACACCGAATACCGAATATTCAGCAACTGTTTGGCAGGTTTTTAGCGCCTAAACTCGTTCGTATTAATGTAATTACTATTCGCAGTTGCCAATTATTTCTATCATTAACATTTAATATTTTCTTTTATGAACCCAATTTTATTCCATATTTATTAGACAAGCCAATCATAATAAAATAAATAAAAACCAACCAAAAATATTATTCATATTTTTGCTCTTAATATCCCTTTAATTAGAAATCCTTAGATTAAATATTATGAATGACTTTATTGAATATAAATACAACACATGCGTATAACCGTTGAATGATTCTTAACATAAACATATAACAATAACGTGTTCTTTAAATATTGAGAAAAGACTTCTTTGTGTTCAATTATAATCTTAAAAGTCGATAAAGTTTGAATTATTATATATACAAAATACAATAACGAATTCATTTCTTCATATCATTTTATGTAAACTGTACACTTGATTTTAACTATTCGCTATTTGGCCGATTAGTAAGTTACTATTCGGCAATACAATAATCATTATTTATTTAGTATTTATTTACTGGGTATTAATCTTATTAATTTTATTTCAGTGCTGTTGTTAGAATAGATTTGAAGATTGCTTTTGTGAATGTCAGCAAGTGATATTGCTTAGTGAACTGAAGAAAGTATGTAAATAACAGGTATGTTTTAATTTTCATGATTTTGATTTACAATTTCAGTGGTAATATTATTATTATTAACACTTTGGTGGATGTGGAAGTAAAACAATAAAAATGAACTTTAATAAATTTTAGTTTTATTTAACTTATAATATATCTTTTTCATATGATAAGCATCTACATGTAATGGTACTCAATAACTTTTACAAATATATCTAGTTTCGGTCAGCAACATCTAGAGTTAACTCGTGACCGGTCATCAAAGTGTTAATTTAATTCAATTTATTCTGCAGTCTGTTAGATAAAACGGATAAAACAATGAGCAGGATTGTTAACAATATAATAAAAGGATAATTAGTGCAGTAAACGGAGAGGAAAAAAGGGTATAACCTCTGAATTTTTTTATTGTGCTCCGAATTGAATGAAATTTTGGAATTAGGTTCATTTTACCCTCAAGTTCAAAAGTGAAAACAATTCGGGTTGCGCCATCACCCCCCGGGGGGGAAGACACCCCCTCTCAATTGTGTAATTACATTTTTACAAAATAACGTCGGAAATCGATAGAAGAACTAATTATAAGAAAAAAATGTCTTCTATAGTTTTTCAAAAAAACTAATACTTTTCAAGCTACTGTCCACTAAATTTTCATATATTTTTGGCGTTTCTCTTCGTTTTTTTGCAGATATCTCCTAAATGATATCTTATTTGCATGATAGTTCACTCATTTTACACGCAAAAAACTTGTAACAGCACTCATTTTAAAGCTTATGTTGAGCACTATAAAACCCAATTTCACCAAAATTCATAAAACGTAATACCTCGACACTAGATGGCTTTAAATACAACAATTAAATCTTGAACGAAATAAAAAACGACTTTGCTCTTTCAAATCTTGCTTAATATTTTTCCTAGAACACTTTATCCAATACCGATTTATTAAGATTTTTATTTACATTATTTTGTTCATTACATGATTTTCGTTAAAATGTATATTTTAGGAGATATTTGCAAAAAAACGAAGAAAAACGCCAAAAATATATGAATTTTTAGTGGCCAGTAACTTGAAAAGTATTAGTTTTTTTGAAAAACTATAGAAGACATTTTTTTCTTATAATTAGTTCTATCGATTTCCGACGTTATTTTGAAAAAAAAAATGTAATTACACAATTAAGAGGGGGTGTCATCCCCCCGGGGGGTGATGGCGCAATCCAAATTGTTTTCACTTTTGAAGTTGAGGGTTAGATGAACCTAATTCCAAAATTTCATTCAATTCGGAGCACAGTAAAAAAAAATTCAGACCTAAAACGCTCCGTTTACTGCACTAAATATTATAATTGATAAGCTAATATTATATAATTGTAAGTGATAAGTTTTTGGCGAGAACTAAGCATTCGATTTGAATGATTCAAAAAAAATTCTACTTGTGTTAGCAAATAATTGCTTTTCGAAAAAAAAATTATTTTATTTAAAAAAAAAAAAATATACTTTGTATATCGAAAATATTTCAGATTTTAATTTTAAATCTGGCTGAAGTTCTCACTTTATACTTTAAATAAGTAATTTTAACTTTGCAATTCAGTTTATATACGAGAGTCTTATAAATATTAGACAATGTTATAGTATTTACAATAATCTATATGAAAACATTTAATATTTTTCCAACATATTTCGTTACGGTACGAGAACTTCCAGCAATTTGCCTTAAGGCATGATGCCAAAAACTAATCAGGACAAAAAGAACCAAAAATGGCAATTCCGTTTTTGAGAGAAGGGAGCATCGGATTTGAATAAAAACTAGTATAGCATCGTGCCTTCAGGCAAATTGCTGGAACTTCCCTTACCGTAACGAAATGTTCGAGGAATACTGAATGTTTTCAAATAGATCATTATTAATATTGTAACATTGTCTAATATTTATAAGAATTATATAAACTGACTTGCAAAGTTGAAATTACTTGTTTAAAGTATATTAAAACTATAGTCAGAATTAAAAATAAAATCTAAATTATTTTCGATATACAAAACTTTTTTTTTGAAAAAAAAGCTGAAACAAATTTTTTTTTTCAAAATCAATTATTTTGTTAAGACAACCAGAAAGTTCTTTGAATCATTAAAATCGGACGCTTAGTTCTCTCAAAAACTGCGTTTTTTACACATTTAGCTTTGTATCTTCGAAATGACTGGGCCTGCCTTTGCCAAAAACTAATAAACACTTCTCGCAATAATTACTAATTGAATGTTTTTTAGATCATTCAAATCGGATGATTCGTTCTCTCAAAAACTCGATTTCTATTTTCTGCACTCTTTGCTCTTTATCTCCATAACTGCTGGACCTTTGTAAAAAAACTTTGCCAAAAACTAATCAGCACATCTCCCTATCAATAGGAATCGAGTGTTTTTGAACCATTCAAATCGGTTGATCCGTGCGCCCAAAAACGTGACTGGAAAATTGTATCCATACATACATACACACACACATCCATTTTTTCTGAGGTATGCCAAAATGTCCAGAAACCTTCAAAACGTCGAGAAATGTAAAAATTTTCAATTTCGATTTTCGGCTCATTACAATAACTTACTCTACGCTACGGGAAGTTAAAAAAAACATTTTATTTCTATTAACTAAACGAAGAACTCTTCAATTTTTTGGAAAGGCAGATCCAGTGGTTGTGTACTCTCAATAAAAAATAAGTTAAAAAAAATCCACTTGGTGGACATATGCACATAAAATTATCAGATATTTTATAGAGATTGTAATAATGTGTACATTATGTGATGATTTTTTGGGTTCCATACCAAGATCTTTAATTTTGAAGTTTATTTATGTGGTTTAAACAAATATGTCTTCGACATTTTCAACAGTATGGAATAATCGATTTGCATGATTGAAAAATCATTCAGTTCGTGCTCTATCGCGAGGCGCTTTTGCAAAAGGCAATTTTGCCATTCCGGAGGTATGAAGGGTGTAAAAACGGGGTTATCCGATTAGATTAATTCAAAAAATATTTTGCTTTTTTTCAACTTTGTCTAAGTTATAGCCTAATAAATTCTCTAAAACATTCTCTTAGGTCAAAATTATGTAAAATTCCTCCATGTATTTAAAAAAAAATTGAAGTTGCTTAATGTTGAAAACCTGTCAGACGTTTTGTGGTACAAAGACATTGTTTTGTGTTTTTATTAATAGCTTTTAAATTACTTATTATAACTTAATACTATCTTTGACAAAGTTCTTATTGAATAAATTCTCTGAAGTTTTTTTTTATAGACGATGATATTCTAAAATTTGTGCTTATATTTTTAAAATATTTTTGAAAACGCTTTTGATTGATACATGTAGAACTTTGTGGGGTACAAAAACATTTTTCGGTATTTTTATTTGAGTTATTCATTTAAACTTTAATACTATAGTATTAAGTTTAAATGAATAACTCAAATAAAAATACCGAAAAATGTTTTTGTACCCCACAATGTTCTACATGTATCAATCAAAAGCGTTTTCAAAAATATTTCAAATTCAAATTCAAAAATATATATATTCAAAAAAAATTGTACATGATTAAAAAACACTTACTTAGACAAAAATATTGTAAATTTTCTGCTTTTATTTTAAAATATTTTTTTTTAAGTTTTTTAATATTGGTACATCTAGACTAGAACATTGTGGGGCACAAAGACATTTTTATTAATAACTTTTAAATTACTTTCTATAACTAAATACAGTCTTTGACAAAGTTATAGCTGGCTAAATTCTATAAAACATTTACTCAGACAATAATATTGGTAAATTTATATTCATATTTTTAAAAATTTTCCCAAGATTATGTAGTACATTTCTGGACAGTAAAGACATTTTTAACTTCCCGAAGGAGTTTATTTTCATCAAAAAATCCGAATCGCTAATTTTATGTTTTCTCGACGTTTCAAGCCATTCTGAATCGAATGAGACCAAATTTGGAAAAAGTATGTATATGTGTGTGTGTGTGTGTGTGTGTGAACAGATTTTTTGCCGTAAATCGACGTTTTCTCGAAAACGGCTGGAACGATTTCAAAAATTTTAAAGCCACTCGATGTATCTCGGTGAGGACTGGCGCTTTTTAGCTTTGTGCGGCGATCGGCCGAGCCGTTTCTTTGTAAATCGCAAAAAAGTGAAAAAATTTTCGTCTACGTTTTAGCCCGCAGTTCTGAATCGATTTTGAAAATTCAAACACCGTTCGAAAGATACTGGTTGGGAATCATGCTGATTAGTTTTTGGTAAAGATCGGCCGGGCCGTTTTCTTGTAATAAGGCCATTCTTGAGGCGTTAAACAAATTTTTTCGACGATTTTCACGAATTTTTTTTTGACGGTAGTACCATAGTCTTATTGATCATACTAAAATATTACGGTCTTACGACAAGTCGTTTAATTTAAAAAAATCGTCAAAGTTTGCAAGAATTAGTATCGTTTTTTTGGAGTTTGTCAAAATTATAACTTTCATCGACGATTGCTCAAAAACGCCTGAACCGATTTCAAAAATTTAAAAGCCAATCGATGTATTTTAATGCGGATTATTTTTTGTCAGTTTGATGCAGCGATCGGCCGAGCCATTTCTTTGTAATTTGGAAAAAAGTGTTAAACTTTTCGTCCACATTTAAGCTCATACTACCGAATCGATTTTTAAAAATGAAAAACTGTTCGAGAGATATCATTTGGGAATGATACTGATTAGTTTTAGTTGAAAATCTATCGAGCCGTTTTCTTGTAATTAACTGTTGAAAAAAAACTTAAGCCGACTTTTATGAAACTTTTTTTGACGATATATATCCTGGTCTTATAGTACTTTACTGAAATATTACGGCCTTACGACAAGTAGTTAATTTTAAAAATTCATCAAAGTTTGGAAAAATGAGTAGTTTTTTTTGACATTTGTTCAAATTAAAATTAGACGATTTATTTGGTATAACGATAGAGTGTTCGTTCATTTAATGATAATTATGTGTAATGAATCCACTCAGATTACTTTTAATCACTCATATTTTAATTCATTTTTATTGATTAAATTGATTATTTATACATATCGGGAAGTTCATGTAACATGCCTCAAGGCAAAATACCAACACCAACTAGTTTGGTACTAATTTTCAAATTACATGTATAATCAGAATATAATTTTAGATGAAAATGTAGCTAGATTAATTATTTATTATGTTTATTAAAATGCATATAATGTAAAATCAGTGCCAGTATATTTAAAATACTTCCCCAGATACATAATGCTTAAAAGACTACTTGATTATGGAGACATTTTTTAAAATTCATATCAGTAACTTCTAAACTTCTGTTTAAAATTAAATACAGGCTTAGAGAAGTCTATTTGTATTTGAACCTGGAACCAATGGTTTCATGGAAATAATATGATATTATTTAATGTGTACTGTATATTTCATACTATTTATAATTTCCATTACATGCAAAAATATTTTATAACATGTTTCCAAATATTTATATACAAAAATATTCCATTAACAAAAATGTTTGTATTTCATTGATTCTGACTATGAAGTGCCATGTGTCTCTTCAAATTCTTTGATTGAGTAAATTCCTTATTACATACTTCACATTCATAAAGACGCTCTTGTTTATGAATGAGCATGTGACATTTCAGATTACATAATTGTGTGAATGTCTTTTTGCATCTATTGCATTCATGGGGACGTACTCCACTGTGTATCAGCATGTGACTTTTCAGATTACTTGATTGTGTAAATTTCTTTTTGCATATAGTGCATTCATGGGGACGTACTCCGCTGTGTATCAGCATGTGACTTTTCAGATTACTTGATCTTGTGAATGTCTTGTTGCATATATTGCATTCATGGGTACGTACTCCACTGTGTATCAGCATGTGACTTTTCAGATGACTTGATTGTGTAAATTTCTTATTGCATATATTGCATTCATGAGGACGCTCACCACTGTGAATGAGCATGTGCCTTTTCATATTACATAATTGATTGAAAGTCTTGTAACAGATTTTGCATTTGAAAGAACTTTCTTTGCTATTATTAGGCATATGTTCGAACATATGCTCTTTTAAATGATGTGTTTCTGCAAATGATCTATTGCAAATGTCACATTCATAAGTTGTTGTCTCGACTAACTCCTGTTTGACTTCTTCTTCAATTTTCACCTCGGAGTTCATAAATCTTTCTAAACGCGTATCATCATCTTCAGAATACGATTCGGATTTAACAGTAACGTCAGGATCATCAAATTCATCCTCCATTTCGAGTTTAATGTCATCTGGTGAATATTCTGGTGGTTCAATTTTAATTGCCTGATCATTCATAGACATAATTGTTTCCTCCGATATTTTCAAATATTTTCACACAAAAAATACAAAATACTTGTGTGCTAAATAATAGTCTAGTATTGTCTTAATTTTTTTTCAATATAATATATCAAATAAATGTTTTCATCTAAATTTTTATTACATTTACTGTTTGACATTTGAAGCATAGAGAGTATATATATGTATAAAGATGAGACATTGGGTGCGTTCGACTTGGACGCTTACGCGCTGTGAGCGCTCACGCTTATAAGCACGAATTTTTAGCGTTCGACTTGGCCGATAAGCGCTTAGAATCGATAACTAAATTCCGTTCGTTTTGGAAACTGTGAGCGTCAATAAGCATCAAAATGGCGGCAAATGGCGGTAACGGTAATTGTGTAAATTTTATTACTTTCTAGATCATTCAGCGGGATTATAAACAATTTAACAATTAATAAATAAATGAAATTTGGTTTGCTTATGCTTAATTCATATTAATATTAAAATAAAAATTAAAATTTAAAATTATTTAAAATTAATTAAATTTAAAATTAATTAATATTAATATTAATATTAAAAAATAATTGTAATGCACAGCTCGCCATTTTTGCGTACTTATTGAACTAAGAATGAATGAAATTAGGATTAGATTATGCATTCCATGCATTCGTTTTGATAAACGGCCATGACACTTTCAAGTGCCTTACCTCCGTGGCGTGAGCACGTATGAGCGCAAAATATGTGCTACGAACATGCTACGATGATGCTACGAGCCATAGATAAAAGAAGAGTATACGCTACGAGCGTACTTTTGTGACACTCACAGCGCCAAGTCGAACGATGAATGCGCGCTCACAGCGCGTAAGCGTCCAAGTCGAACGCACCCATTATTTATCGTGGTGCGTCTTTTCAATATCAATATGGTTCTCTATGTTTCTACCATAGATAAATAAGCATCATGGGGGGCAAACATAGAACAAACGACCTTTTTATCGTATTAGTGTTCCGCTCCTCTAAAACCCTCTATGGTTTTATTGTTCCTAAATTCAGAACTAACGTCGGCCAACGCGTACATCAAATCGCAGGACTATTGACGGTGCTACTCGATAACGAACGAATACCTCAGATAAATAAAAGAATTAAAAAAAGAGTGCGCGTAAGGATCACACGCGATTGAAGTAAAACTTTTAATATTGTATGAGTAGGCAATTAAGATAAAAATAAAAAAAACATCATATTTGAATTTTAAAAATCATCTTTTATTAATCACATATCAATAATAATAAGATCTCCTGAGCATCGGCACAGCTGTCCTACTGATATTAAGAGTTTGAATATGATGTGAAGCTTTCTTCCTAATTTTGTTACCTATCTTACCAGGAAATTCAAACCATAAACGTAGAAGTCCATCATTATCGCCACGTTCTATGTACATTAATTTTCCTATACAACCATTAGATAAGCCATCACTTACATCAATATTAGTTGTTATTATGTAAAATTTATTCAGAACTAAAATTATTTCATACGGCAAACCCCCGGTATCAAAAACCGATTTTTGTGAAACTGCTGACGAATGTATGATTGTTGATCTGTCGCATGGCAACCTACATAAATATCCGTGGCAGTACATATTATTTTGTCTTCAACGAGACTTTCAATTCAATATAAATTTATTGTATTCCATGACACATTTATTCTCTAAGAAAAGTCTTATTCCATGAGGACATAATACAGCAACCTCTTCTTTTGTAAAAAAAACGTGATTCAATTAATGCAAGTTCATATAGGGTTTAGCGGGTTTAGCGTTCGACTTACGCATGACATGACGGGAGTGGATCGCGACTCGCGACATCAGAGCCTACCTGCCTCGTAGTGTTCAACTTCACTTTGGCGTTTTCGTTGCATTTGTACGGATTTACACCCGTGTCGCGCCTACAGAAATTTTTACACCCATATCGCGCCTAAAGAAGTTTTACTTCAATAATAATTTTCAATATGGCGAAGTGTCACGTACCAACAGTGTCAAAAAAGTGTTGAATTAAATACAGTTCATAAAGATAAAATTTTTTAGCAGGGTACTAACAAAAGTCGCATTCGTTAAGAAACTGGGCTGAAAAGCTATAGAGGATTTGAGGCACGTTTGAAACAAAAAGAAAGTGATTTATTTACCAGAAATTTTAATCAAGATCCATTGCAGATTTTTTTGGAAGAATAAGGGTCGAAAATGTTCAATTTTCTAAATTATTTATATTGTTTGTTGTTAATAACTGGTGTTTTACTGTGAAACGATGTCTCTCAGGAAAATATATGAATGAAAATGAACAGGACCCCATAAAAAAGTATCTCTCGAAAAGTACAAGAAATGTCTCAAGGCCAATAAAACTCGACTGAGGCAGAAAAAATTATTATTCTGCGAATGTTAGAAAATCTTGTCTATTTATTAATAATTGTATTTTATTTAAATTATGTAAATACGTTTTATTGATATATTTTATTATTTATATTTAATTATTGCTTATATATTAATTTTATTTTATTTTTGAAAATGTTTTTAATATATACGGAAATATATTTTTATGAGTATGTTTTGTCATCATTGCACATATTAAAATTTCAGATTTATTGTAACAATATTATACATAAATTTATCTTAGAACTAAACCTAAGGATTTGGATTTATCTAGAATTTAACCTAGGGGTAAATGTTCATGCTACACTCGTCGCGCTTCTATAGCAGGAGCGGTAAATTAAATTTAAAATAATCGAAAAGCGGTCCGGTTTGCCATCTATTTATACTTGTTTATCTATGATAAGCATAAATAGATCGCTATCTCGGGCGATTTGACGTTACACTCATTTTAATTTACGAATTGATCACAACATGGCAGCACATGTATATACAGTATGTAAATTAACTCCTGGTTAATGTTCAATTTTACATTTATACATATAATCAATACAGCTAAAAAATCTGAAAAAAATTTAATATTTGAAATAAGAACAAAACATACGAAATATAAAATACATTTTTCAATATATTACAGACATATTTTTGAAGAATTATAAACTAAACAGAAATAACTGACTACTATTAATTAAAGTATATTACATTAAAAACTTAAAAACTAAAAAGTAAAAAGCGCAGGAGTATTGACGATGGAATGACAAATTTAGAAGGAATGACAAGTAATGCAAAAATTTAAAAGGATAAAAAGAACAGCGCATTTTTAAAAAAGAATGAATACTTCCCAAACAAAATAATCCTAAAAACAAAATATATATATATATTGATATCCAAATTGAGATAAAACTAAATTCCTAGGATTAAAATTCATTTACAAGACATTCTTGTTTATCTCTCCATTTAATAGTTATTTTGCTATCTAATCAATCATTAATAAAGTTATATTTGACGAAATCTTTGAATAGTTTTTGTATAAGTGTTTTTTTAAACGTAAGTAACCAAAACCCTGAACTACTTTTAATTTATACCAATTGTAGCTCAAACCTATCTATCTAAACCTATTAATCCAGTTTTTATTGCAAGGAGGTTTATTTAAAACTATAACTAAACCCTTGCGCTTTATAAACTGTCTGATCTTTGAGTATGTTAATTGAGACAATATCAAAATTGTTGCCCTTACATTTTAAGTTTCCGGAATATTTGAAAACTTCTCAGAACATTGTATACTCTGTTGGAATTTATCCTTAAAATTATTGCATTGTTTGTTAATCCTTTTTTATCCCGAAACAAAATTTGACCTTATCACTGCCTTCTGCGGCAATTTGCAGCTACCACCAAGGACTTCTATTGAATATATTGTTATATCATATTAATTGAAGATATTGTTATTATCATATTAATTATTTTTGCTGCAATTATTATGAAAAAATACCTTTGCGGAAAACTGGTGTCAGAATAGGTGACTTTTAACCTGCACTTGACAATCTCAGGGTTGCTGCAAAAATCTTTTTCGAGGTTTTTAGGCTTTCATCTCCTAACTAAGAACATAAGATTCATTTATTAATATTTTTTGCAAATTGTATTGAAGTATTTAGAGTTATAATTACTTGGCCTTGTCCTTGGAGTTGCAGAATGTTCTTCTGGTTCTGTATGAGAGCATTCTCCAGTGACTTGAAAACTATTCTGTTATTGCCATAAAGGAGACACTTCTAATTGATTTCGATTTCAAATTATCTTTGTCTTGTGCCACAAACCGAAGAGTTAGGTCATCCATTAAAGGATTATTCGCCCTCTGCATCCAAATTGAAAGCATCTTTTTACAAATTTTTGCACATATATATATATATATATATATATATATATATATAACATTTTAATAGTATTTTCATTATACATATTCATTATGTGCATAATACATCATTATATACATACCTGATAATTAGATGCCGGAAATATATGCATCTTTTATTATATTTGGAGTTACAACAATTTGGCATATTACACTTTACCATTTTAACTTAATAATAAATGAAAAAAGTATTCACCAAAATATAACTATATATAAACAATCACAGAAAAACAAATATAACACATCTCAACTACAACACGCGATGACGACTTACAGAAAATGGACGATCAAATCAATGTAGATCAAGCCAGCTGCTAGATCAATGAAATTGGAAATCGTAGCGCCATCCTTCGATCAATTCGAATGCCAATCCATTGCCAATCCATTTCAAAACACGGTAATCATAGATAAACAAGTATAACGGTAATCTACATTTATTCGGAGATTACCGGCCATGGTTTCTACTCTCTCTACTGCTACAAACAAACTCTATGCTTCAAATGTCAAATAATAAAAGTTATTTAGTTAAATTAATTGATCATATTGAAAGTAATTATTGATAAAATTATTTAGCACACAACTATTTTGTAATTTTTTTGTGAGTATAAGCAGTGAAAATATTTAAAAATGTCGGAGGAAACAATTATGTCTATGAATGATCGGGCAGTTAAAATTGAACTACCAGAATATTCACCAGAAGACATTAAACTCGAAATGAAAGATGAATTTGATAATCCCGACGTTATTGTTAAATCTGAATCGTGTTCTAAAGATGATGATACGTGTTTGGAAAGATTTATGATTTCCGAGGTGACAATTGAAGAAGAAATCAAACAGGAGGTAGTCGAGTTACCAATTTATGAATGTGACATTTGCAATAGATCATTTGCAGAATCAGACCATTTAAAAAAGCATATGGTCGATCATATTCCTAGTAATAGCAAAGAATGTCCTTTCAAATGCGAAATCTGTTACAAGGCTTTTAATCGATTAAGTGTTCTGAAAGTGCACATGCTCATTCACAGTGGTGAGCGCGCCCATGAATGCAATATATGCAACAAGAAATTTACACAATTAGGTCATTTGAAAAGTCACATGCTGATACACAGTGGAGTACGTCCTCATGAATGCAATATATGCAATAAGACATTCAGGCAATTATGTAATCTAAAAACTCACATGTTTATTCACAGTGGTGAGCGACCTCATCGATGCAATATATGCAAAAAGACATTCATGCGAACAGGTGATCTAACAAAACACCTGCTCATTCATAATGGAGTACGCCCACATGCATGCAATATATGCAAAAAGACATTCAGGCAATTATGTAATCTGAAAAGTCACATGCTTATTCACAGTGGTAATCAACCCCATCAATGCAATATATGCAAAAAGACATTCACAGAAAGAGGTCATCTGAAACGTCACATACTGATTCACAATGGAGTACGCCCTCATGAGTGCAACATATGCAAAAAGAAATTTACACAATCAGGTCATCTGAAAAGTCACATGCTGATACATAGTGGAGTACGTTCCCATGAATGCAATATATGCAATAAGACTTTTACAGAAAGAGGTAGTCTGAAACGTCACATGCTAATACACAGTGGAGTACGTCCCCATGAATGCAATATATGCAAAAAGACATTCACAGTAAGAAGTCATATGAAAAGACACATGGCACTTCATAGTCAGAAGCGTGGTGAAGATCAATGAAACATAAGTATATTTGTTCACTTAAATTTAAATATTGTAAAAATTTTTGCGTCTAATGGAATGTATAAATAGTATGAAATATACAGAACACAATACATAATATCAATATTATTTCAAAATTTTTTATTCAAATTTTAATTTTTATCAATTAAGTATTATTAATGTGGATTAGTAACCATTGGTTTCAGGTTCAAATACAAATTGGTCAGGAGTAGCTTTAACTTTCTAAGACCGTATTTAGTTTTAAACAGAAGTTCAAAAGTTATTATTATGAATTTTAAAAAATGTCTTTACACATGGCGATATATACCAGAAATATGCCACATTAACTTTAATATATTTTTTTTATTATTTTTTTTTTTTTAATTACATTATATATTACAACTGTTAAATAGTTAACATCTAGCAATATTGATAAATAATAACATAAATTTAAATAAATAAGAGTGCAAAGGATAGAATTTACATGAAAATAATATCCGTAGTATGATGATTTAATATAAAATAAAAGCAAATAATAATAAAAATAAAATTAATAAATAATATAAATAAAATTTCTGAATAATAAAATATTAGAAAAAACAATAAAATATAACAAAATAACAATAATAGAAATAGTAAGATAATAATAATAATATTAATGTTAGCGTTTATAAATGGCTGTTTATGAGATCATTGGGAATTTTTCGTTTTAGCCTGGTTGGGCGCGCTTCTGAGAATACTTTTTGTGCCAAGTAATTTGGGTGTTCGTCCATTCTTCTTTTACAGTTGTCTGTTTTTTTTTGTTGAATTACTTCATTTACTGTCATCATATTGCTGTCCTGGTGAATCAACCAGTTGAGAACGTACCTGGGTGCGTTCAGTGCCTGCCGTATTATCTTGTTCTGCACTCGCTGAATGATCTGTATATTAGTTTTATCGGTGGTGCCCCATAGTTGAATCCCATAAGACCACACTGGTTTAAAAATACTTTCATAAATAATTAGTTTGTTGTTTATCGACAGTTCGGACCAGTAATGTTTTTTAAATAATTCATCAATCTGCTGTTTTTTCTTGCTAATGTGAACTCCTAGTTCAATTTTCTAGTTCAATTTATTCCGAGATATTTTACGCTATCTTTTACTGGGATTTCCTGTCCATTTAATAGTAGGTCATATACCAGTTAATTGTAGGTCATATACCAGTACGCAGCGTGAAAGTGATATGCGTAGATTTTGCGTGGTTTGTCATAATTCTCCACAAAGAAACCCATTATGTAGCAATATCTAGATGCTTTTGTAATAGTTGCGAAGCTATTGCGGAATCTTCATTGGAGGCAATGATACAAGTATCGTCAGCAAATGTCGGCACGCTTGTTCCGGAAACTCCGCTGTGAATATAAGAAATAGAGTTGGAGAAAAGACGCTTCCCTGGGGCACCCCAGAGAGGATCTTTTTTTTGGTCGACTCCTCGTTGTTAATTCTGACGAAAAATTCCCTATTTTCAAGGTACAATTTTATTATTGAAAATATCGGTTCTGATAAACAGAGTTTTAGTTTGTACAACAAACCAGTGTGCCATACCTTGTCAAATGCTTGCGCAAAGTCTAAAAATACAGCCAAACAATATTTTTTGCATGGAACGATTCGTTTATTATATTTACTAGGCGATGAACCTGTTCTATGGTTGAGTGTTGTTCTCTAAAGCCGAATTGGTGATTTGGAATTACGTTCTGATTCAACAATTCTGACTTAATGCGTTATAGTAATAATTTTTCAAATATCTTCGAAATACAAGGAAGTAGGCTTATTGGTCTATATAGGAAGACAGTAAATGAGGGTCTTTCCCAGGTTTAGGTATAAGAATTATTTTAGCTACTTTCCAAGCTTGAGGGAACACTTTTAATCTTAAAATTGAATTGAAAATTATTGTTAATAATCTAAATCCCTTTTCTGGCAGTTTTTTTATCATTTTTATCGAAATTTTATCTGGCCCAGGAGATTTATTATAATAAATCTATAGGATTTGCATCCTTGACATATTTTTTTAATTCGGTCACCGTTATGTGTTTTACAATTTGGCCTGGTATAGATTCATTTTGTAAACAATTGTGGATAAAATCTTCATTGTTTACGTTGCAACTGCGGGGATGAGGCTGGAATGTATTTTTCAATTGTTCTTAATATTCTTCCAATTTTTCTTCTGAACTTCTTGCCCAAGAACAATCAAGTACACGCACTGGCGGTATATGCACTAGAGATGGGTAACTCACTCCGGAGTTATCACTCCGATACAACTTCTCCTTCGGAGTGAATCCGGGTGGAGTTATTTCACAGGATTTGTCATATTCGACTTTCCTAAACTGGTATTAAATCTGTTAATTTGTGCAGACATTTACTGTTTTTGGCGTTTTTGCTTTGGGAAGAAAGCGGTCGCTTTCTCGTCTCCCAGGCAGTTTTATGACCTTTTAGGTATAAAAATCAAAACACTACCATTGTGTATTTTGCAGAAAATACAAAAATATTACTTCAAAGACACAGAACAATGAAATTGTGTTCAAGTGTGAATAGCTCAAATGTTTAATTTATTGAATAGTAAGGGCTAATCTTTCTAACTACGACAATCTTTGGCCCTGAATGACGACAATCAGGAATATACATACCGAAAAATATACGGTTTTGCCATAGTCTGAAATAACAATATTTATCAGTGATATCAATAGTATTTAAGCAGCAAAAAATATTTAGTATTATATTATTACTTTTACACAATATTAATTCTCGAATGGAAATAGCAGAAGAAAAATTTAGAAAGCAGAAGTATTATGTTTTGCTTTTATTACAAAGTGTACTACTTAAGTTTTATATAAAATTAATCAAAAAAAATTATTTTCTCATCAAAAGGAAATAATTAAATGGAATTTGATTCTCAAGTTTTGCGATTTTACTTTGGTCAACACTGCTAAAATTACGAGTCATTGAGTCGATCATCTGGTCGACCGAAAAATTTTACAACCCGTCATTTATTTGTGAATTTTTTAGAAAAATTGTTTTATTGATATTTATTCATAACTTTTTTTATCGCCTGATGCCCAGTGGACTTTTTATAGCAAAAAATTACCAGCTAATTGTTAGTAGGACTACGTCTTCGACATTAGTTGCATCTCCACGATAGCAATAGTTTTTTTCAATATTTTGCAAGTTACCAAGCAATCAAATGATAAACTTTTGTGTTAGTGTGTATATTCTGTGTGTAACAAAATCAGTGATTGCAAGTGATTAGAGAAATGGCAATGAGACGTAAAACCAGTACTATCTGGAATCATTTTTCCTCAAAGATAATAAAGCAAAATGCAATTAATGTGCGGATTTTTTAAGTATTTTATTTTCAAATACTGGAAATTTAATAAGGCATTTGAACTATACCGATTTATCCGGCAATGCGCCGCGAGACTGTATTATTGGATAATATTTTTGCGTTAAAAACTTCAGAAGCTGGTACATCAGATTCAAATCCATCTAATACAATGAAAAATAATTCTAATGTTATCAGAAATTATTTGCAAAATACTAATCCTTTACCCATGTGCCAAATTGCTGAAATAAATGCACAATTGATCAAGATGATTGCAAAAGAATATCATTTAATGCAAATCATTGAAGGGATTGAATTTAGAATGCTATTGAAGTTGTTAAATCCAAGATATAATGTACCGAAATGCTTAAAATTGTGACTTTTTATAACAATATCAACAAATATGTTTGAACTGTTTATAAAAAATTTCAAATAATTAATAGGATTCGACAAATCCTTAGATACATAAACAACGGACTATAGAACACATTTGTGTCGAGTACTTCGGTTTGAAAGTTGTCGGAGTCGTGGAGTTGTTAAGCGGATATAACTCCTCCATGAAGCGGAGTCAAATCCGAGTCGATCCGGCTTCGGTTATGATAAGCCCATCTCTAATATGTACTATCGGCCTTTTTAATCTCTTCGTTGCCTTCCAAAGAGAATAATTTGTGTCTTTAGTAGATGAAAGATTAGTTAAGTAATTTTCAATGAATTGGTTCTTATATTCATATAATAGAGTTTTACGATTTCTGCAGGCACTGTTAAATTTGTTTTTATTGGCCGGTGATCTTGTGGTTTGCCATGCTTTTTGTAATTTGCGTTTTTGAGTTATGATTTTTTTAATGTTAATAGGATAATTAGGTTTGCAACTTGCATTTGAAAGTATAGTTAATTTTTGAGCTACTGATGATAATAGCGTTGTAAAATTAGTTATCGCCAAGTTTAAATCAGTTCATTTTTCAAAGGTATGTT